CAATTTCATAATGGTCATTTTAATTTATTTGGCGAGTATATGTTTTCTTTTTCCTGCAACATTGTACTTAAGCATTGGGGCTATTATTGGATTGAAATTTAATTTATATGACGAAATCGGATGGCAAAAATTAACAACTGAAGACTTAAGTAATTATTCCCTTTAAATATTCAATAATTAACATTCAAAAAATCATATATCAATCTAATACATGTTTTCTTATATAAGAAAAAATTAGGGAAAGAGGTATGGCAGCATTGGGTAAACCAACATTCACTTCACGAAAACCATTCTTTAATCTCGATTTGGCAGAAACGCTTTTGTTCTTATCCTCTGTTGTCTATCTACGCGAAGAAGCAGAAGTTCGTAAAGCAGTAAGACATTTATCACAAATTCAAGATAATTTAAAAAATAAAGAGAATGTTGAAAAAGCCGATATTGAACAAGTTTTTCAAGCACTTGATAACGCCGATAATGGAGTTCGTAAAGTAGTTAATAATTGGAATATTCAATTTAAATCTGTATCAGAATTGGGCACTTCCAAAGGCGTTTATGCTGGATTGTTTTGGAGTGTCAAACACAATTTTATCGTAGTCTCATTTAAAGGTACAAGTCCAACCAATTTTTTAGAATTAGTAGTTAACTTTACATTCCAAAGAAAGGATGGAAGAGGTTTCATATTCGGCGGAGTACATGAGGGATTCTACAACTGTTTATTTCCAAAAGATAATCCTGGTTCGATATTAGCAAAAAAAGGGTTTCCTCATTTGAGAATAATTGAAGCTATTAATGTTAAAGCCCGGGAAATTTGTAGTAAGAATAAGAAAGGACGTGTTAATATTTGGATAACCGGTCACTCTCTTGGTGCCTCTTTGGCAACATTGTTTTATTCAAGAATATTGAAATTACCTGGGATCTTGAGCAGTGATTGCGTTCTTAGAGATGTTTATTCATTTGCAGGCCTAGCTGTTGGTGACAGTAACTTTTCATCCGAATTTTCTTCGCGATATAATGAAAGTGATACAACGCTTTGGCGTATAATTTGTGAACAAGACATCGCACCACATTTACCTCCAAATAATGGAGCATTTCGTGCTCTACGTCAATATCTTACCACAAACGACATTTTGAATTATTTTCATGTCGGAGATACGGTCAAATTCTTCCATAGGAATAAAAAACCTAAAGCTGATCAAATCATTTTCAATCCTTCAATTGAATCCGCAAATAATCAGATGTTAACTTGGAATGACTGGAAATTGATGTTCAATGAAGACGCTTTGACTGCAAATCAGCTAGTAAAGAATAATTCATCTATTTATGATCAAGCTTTACTTCCTTACGAGAATTTACTTAGATTACCAATACTTAATATGCTTCGAAGTCATATTCCGCATCGTTATTTTGCGGCAATGGAAAAATCTAGGCACCATTTTCGAACAAATAGTCCTTCTCTTTAATTAGATTATATTGGTAATGTATTTAATCATATTGCATATATTGTCAAATTATCTTTGAATATACTATTGCAATATTTTTATTTCATATTATTATAACTTGTGCAATATTTGGGTTTATATATCATTTAATTTTAAAAAACATAAATGATATATTGAATTTCCTACAGATTTCTATATTTAAGAAACTTTAAAATAGCATTACCTATTATTGCGAATAAAATAGTTTTAAATTTCTTGTATGTTGCTATAATCGTGTTAGCCTTGGATCAAACTAGATTTCGTAATACAAATGCTGGTTGCACAGCATGATCGAATACATGACTAATGCATAGTATTATCAAGAGAAATAGTATTTGATGATCGTATGATTATGCAATACTGCAATAAGGGGCTACACTGATCATAAATAATGCAGCAAAAAAAAAAAATCGTTAGATCGTATTATCTCACGCAATTTGGGACCGACCTTCATTTTTTTTTATTATTATGTTTGTAAATAGGATTTCTTTCTGCTAGTAGAATTTT